TTTTTTTTTTTTTTTTTTTTTTTTTTTGGTACCAGGGATCGAACTTGGGACCTTGCACTTGTGAGGCTGATGGCAGCATCACTGAGCTAAATCCCTGGCCCACAATTTCTTCTTGATCATCTGAAAATCGTTTGATTCTACTGTAGAAGATTTGATTTGACTGACAAAACTTGCATTTTTCAAAACTATATTGCTGACTTTGTTGAAAGTTGCAATGGAATATGGACTGGAATATGACTATGGGAAGTTGCACTCGAATGTGTTGCACTGGTTAAAAACATGTGATTTAGAGAGAGACATACCTGGTTCTGAATCCTGGCTCTAGTTTCCAAAATGTACTCAACTGCCAGAACCTAAATTCTGCCATGTGCAAATGGAGATAAAACAGAACTGTGATTGCCTTAACTACTTTAGATTAAATGAGACAATTCTTGTGAAATAATTAAAATAGGGCCTGTTAAGAACTTGAAAAATGTTTTAATACTACTATTTTTAGTACATGTTCTCACATCTAGATTTAAAATGGATTTGAAACATTTTCTTCCCTTGAAATGGTTTTCTCCAGTACAACAATCTAAGTTCAACGGTCTCTAATTTCCAAGGTATTATTTCTTGGTACACAAAGTACCCAAAAAATAATCCAGAATGGCAGCGGGTGGCCACATAGATCTCTATGACTCAAAGGACCTATGATGGTTTTATTTAAATGATCTTCCCATGAAAAATCCAAATACCACCCTCATTTTCCCCTTTCTCCTCCTCAACTGCCTGTTTTAGGGTGGAGAGTAAAGAGCTTTAAACTACTACCAAGCACGCTGTGAACACAAGGAACCAGCCCCGCCACTGTTCCCCTGGGGATCTCAGTGCTCTCTGACCTTGGCAGTGACCCTCATGTGTAAGAACACCGAGCAAATGACAACGGCTGAACTGTTTGTTTCTGGCGGAGCAGGAAGGGATCGGCCAATCCGAAGGCTTACCGCCCCTCTCCAGCCAGCAAACGACTGCTCGCCTGGCCGCTGAGCGACAGCCAGGCACATAAAACCAGACGCGATATCGCGTAAGAACGTACTCTATACCTGTATTTAAGGCAGCTCTACAAAGAAAGGCCTTCGTGTGACATTTTGTTCTGGCTTAAAGAAAAGGAAGGCAGCATGTTTGAATGCAGCATTTCTGCGTTACCCTAGAAAGCACAGACAGCCGTGCGGTATCGTCCCAGGATCGAAATCTTTTCAATAACCCTGGCTGCTCCCCAGGCAGGCCTGTGGGTCCTTACCAACTCCTGCGCGTCCTCCTGAAGTGGCAGAAATGCTGCCTCCAGAAGAGCGACCTGGTCGGCGCTGAGCTTCTGCCACAGCCCAACCAGCAGAATCACCAGGTGGGTGGCACTTTTCAGCCTGGCGAACGACTGCAACAGATTGGCTTGGTTTTCCTCAACTGCTTCTGCCAGAGCAATTACCTGCAGAGAGGACAAACTCACTGAGGATGATTTCACCATTCTGGAGTCCTCGACACGTCCCATTCGCACACTTTTGGTTTTTTTGCCAACAACCTGATGAACTCTGTCTTCTACAAACACAGGCGATGTCGAGTAACAAGAGTTATCACCAACGTCCTTCTTTTAAAGTAATCTCAGAACTAATTCCAAATCCATATGGCTAAGGGATGAAAACATCCATGAAATCAGTTTAATGGGAACACTGTTCAGCATCTGTGGCACAATCCGGTGATCTTAAGTCTGGGGCAATATCGGTAACTGCTAATAAAGTTGTAACCGTGTTTTTACCAGCCATGGAGAATGATCAATTAAATATTCTCACCAAAATAACTACACTTTCCACGTAGCCAAGTAAGTTCAGTGCCCCTTTTTCAGAAAATATCTGTCTTCCTTGTCTATTAGTCTTCATATGTTACATGGCATTGGGATAACCGATATTTATTATATCTGAAAGGCAGATAATGTTTAAACCTTTGGTCACTTGAGCAATGTCATTTTTAACACAAATGTCAGGTACCAGCCCACGGGGACCAGAAAGTCGGGCCGTGTCAGCTCTACAACACTACATCTACTTAGGGTAGACGTTGGCAGGCGTGAGTGAGCAAACTGGCTTTATGTTTTTATCCCTTGGAATAATCCTGTGGAAAAAAGAACTAAAGCAACAACTGGATGGTGTTTTACTTTGTTTTACTGTAATGTCTTGGAGAATTCGGTGCTCACTAAAAGTAGTGAACTTCCTGCCACAGTGGCTCAGGGTGCCTGATGTCCCCAGAACAGGAAAGGCCAATGCCAGGCAGCGAGCTGCTTTCTGTAAGTCTCTGCCAGCTGCAGAGTCTGTGCACATGAATCCGTCCGGTGATGCTCTGTGGCTTATTGACACTGGCACGAAAGGCTTGTTAACAGATCATCTTTCAAACCAGTCAAGGCCGCAGCTACGTGGTCTCCCAAGTTCCCGGGGCAAGGGCTGTGAGGGGTCAGTGCTCTGAGTGTCTGGGAGACTCTGGGAAAGAGCACAGTGAAGGAAGGCCCTTGACCGAAAACACAAGGCGGGACCCTGCCGCTGGATGTGTGCTCAGAGGACTCTGTTACAAGAGACGGTTACAGTTCCCGTTCAGCTCCCCAGTGAGCCAGGGAGTCTGACCCAGGACCAGGGTTCTGTAGAGTGTGTTGCTTGCCATGTGCCTAGACTGTGCTTTCCGCTGGATTCAAGAGAAGTAGACTGGCATCTCACAGCCCACGAGGATCTCATAATTTGCTGGAAAGTAAACTTACACACGTAACCAATTAGAGGGAAGAAACGTTACTACAATACTGTCCTAACTGTACAGAACAGAAAGCAAGTATAGAAGAAGATAGCAGAGGCACAGATTACTGTGGGCAGAGTTAACACCCCCGGGGCCTCTGTTACTCAGCTGGGGCTTGGAACTCATCCCTTCCCTGGTGAAGTCCCCCTGAAGAGACGCGGAGCAGCCACTTTCCTGAAACCGAAACAGCCGGACTCACGTGCTTCCCTCACCTCCCCATGTTTACAGTGGACTCCTGGAAAAGCCTAAGTCTATACTCGTCTTCTTCCCGAGAACGTTAACAAGCCTCGTGTGAGGTCACCATATTGACACAGATGCTCACTGTGAAAAAGAACAAATCACACAGAGACAAAGGTCACAGGTGCTACTGGGTGCCAGGAATGTACACGACTTTGCAGGAAGCACTGCAGGGAACGTGGTGGTGACAGAGCTAATCTCTACCTGCAAAGAGTTCACAACAGCGGAAGGCAAGTGGGTCAAGGGGCCAAATGGTGACACTGTACAGAAGGCCCTGGGGCCTCCACAGGAGAATTTCCTAAGTCACAGTCACTGTTCTAAATTCCTTATGGGGATTATCCCATTTAATTCTCAAAAGTATCCTATGATAGTATTATTGCTCCCATTTTAAACAACCAGGAAAAGGTCAATGAGCAAATGGAAGAGCCAGAATTCACCCTCACTCAGGCTGACCCCAGAAATGCCACATGGAGTGCTGTCTACATTGATTTCTGCCTGCACACTGGCCTCATCCCAGGCAATCTAGGGAACCAATTCCATTCGAAGTTCTCCGATGGAGCTTGGAGCAATGAAGGTCTCAGCTTTGCCGCCCTTTGAGACCCACACAAGCTAGGACAGATTTATTTTAATCAAAAGCAGGCATGGATGAGCAAGTTATTGAATGGAGTTGCTCTGGAGGAATGAGTTCACGACCCTCTGGAGAGGAGTTCGTGTGCATCCAGGAAGCTGGAAGGGGGGCTGCTGGTTCCACTCTGTACAAGCAGCTTTGTTTCCATGTTCAATTCACTTCCCTTTGCTGGGCTCCAGCGTCATCATCTTTCACATGAGATGAACATGATTGCTGACATGCAACACAGCTGTGTCTGACTTGTACACATTTAAATCTTCTTTGGAAAATACGTGGTGTTGAAGGACCCCTGCCACCTCTTTCTTGTGGATATAACACAGTAGGATTCTGCTTCATGTTTGTTGACTTTTTCTTTGGCTAATTTGTATGATTATGATAATTAGATAAGGGTTAACAAATACACAGTAACAAGTGTTGGCAAGGATGTAGAGAAACTGGAATCCTCATGCATTGCTGATAGGAATGTAATATGAAACAGTCACTCTAGAAAATAGTCTGCAGTTCCTCAAAAAGCTAGTTACCACATGACCCAGCAGCAAGTCTACTTCTAGGTATATGAAGAAAGAAAAGAAAATATACGTGTACTTAAAAACTTGTCCACAAATTGTGTCAGTTAGCTTTCTGTTACTGTAGCAATCATCCTGGGTGATCATCTTATAAGAGAAAAGGCTGCTTGATTCACAGGTCTGGAAGTTCTGGTCCATGACCAGCTGGCCTGTTGCTTGGGGCTTGCGGTGCACATCATGACAGTGACCATACCCCTTAAAGCCAGCAAGCACAAAGAAGAGGAAGAGGAAGGCCCAGGTTCTATTCTTCTTTTGGGTCACATCCCCAGGGCCCTGAAGACTGCCACTATACCTTGCCTCCTGAAAGTTCCCACCATGTCCCTGTCCCTGTCCCAGCAAACTGGGGACCAAGGCTCCAACACATGGGCCTTCAGGGGCACTCCAGGTCCAAAGTAGCATGGATGTTGAAGTGGCATTATTTATAACAGCCAAAAACAGAAACAACTCAAATGTCTAACGCTAAACTGGGGACCAAGGCTCCAACACATGGGCCTTCAGAGGCACTCCAGGTCCAAAGTAGCATGGATGTTGAAGTGGCATTATTTATATGACAAATGGATACAAGGCACGTGGCATCTCCACTTGATGGATCGCAATTCAGCCATAAGAGGAAGGAAGGCTTTGTATGCTGTACAGCATGGATGAGTCCTGAGAGCATACTACATGAAAAGACGCTCATTGCAAAGAAACACATGCAGTGCAGTCCATTTACACAAAGTGTCCAGCACAGGCAAATCTATGAGACAAAGAGGGAATCAGAAGATGTTCAGGGCTGGGGTAGGGGTGGGTCGGAGGGACGGGGTGACAGCTCATGGGTGTGGTTTCTTTTGGGTGGGATGAGATGTTATAAAGTTAAATTGTTGTAATGGTGTGATTCATAACCCATGAATACAATAAAAATTGCTGAATTGTACATTTTAAATGGATGAACTGTATATAAATTATATCTCAATAAAGCTGTTAAATAAGTCTTAAAAAGGACTTTGAAAGTACAATTCATGTCAAATGGATGAAATAACACAAATAAAACACTTTACTTGAACAAGAATTTGGAAATAGGTTATGACTTATGTCTTGATGTCCCCCCAAAGCCCCCAAAGCCTCAGGCAGTCATGGGGTGGGCTTTTCAGAGGTGGCTGGATCTACAGTATGAGGTGCTGGGATCAAGGATGTGTGATTACTAAATCAGTCCACTGATTAGTTTGGCTAGGAGTAAAGGTATGAGTCTAGGACAGGTGGCCTGCATAAAATATAAGGAACATAAAGAGGGCTAGTGTACTCTGACCTGCCTGATTGCCTTGGACTATTTCTCCTCTCTGATGCCCTCTGCCATGCCAGCCTTCTGTGGAGTCAGCTGATTACGGACTGAAACCTCTACAAACTGTGAGCCAAATAACCCTGTCCTCCTTTAACTTTGAGTGTTGGGTATTTTGCCTCAGAAACAAGAAAAGTAACTAAGACAATATATTAATTGCTATACCATATCTGTAACTAGGGCTTTGTGACATTCAAGACGACAGGACAATATCCGACTCTGAAATCAATCAGATCTAAGAGTAGTGCAGCACTACTGACCAGCGGTACCACATTGGGCTCGGTACTTCACCTCCCTCAGACTCAGTCTTCTCACTCATAAAATAGGACTCTATGAAAGCTAGCAACCATCTCTTCCTGTATCCCTTGTTGGCTGCTGGTTACTATTTCATAATCATTCCCAGAGTTTAGGCCTCGTTTCAGATTAGCTACCCCAGGCAAACTGTACTTTTCTGTTAGATTAACAATGACACTGAAAAGAAGGACTGGTCTCCGGTATCGTGGCACACCCTACTGCACACCATCACCAGAGCAAGACCTGCCAGTTCGTCACTCCTCTGTCCGTGGCCCACACCCAGTGTCGTTCAATGCAACAGAGATCACAACGTAGCCAAGTCAAGCAGCTTCCAATTAAAAGGCCAAGAGGGCCAGCATCAGAGCTGCGAGTAAAGGCTATGGGAGAACCACACACTAGAACCCCTCGTTCCAAGCCCTGAGCAATTCTAGTAAAACAGGCACACAACTCTGCTGAAGACCTGCTCTCTAAAAGTCCTATGAAAAGATCGTTCCTCAGGAAAGTAGGCGTTACTTGATTTCTTTTACAGCTTACTGAAAATGTGAGAAAATCTGGTGATTTGAATGCTTCTAAAGTACCCTGTGAAAAGGCAGAAGGAGAATAAAACTCTTATTCAA